GCAATTTTTCGACGAAATTTTTTCATTAATGTGTAGATATTTAGGCCTTTTAGGTGAATACGGTGAATATGGCAGTTATAGCGCAGAATGTTTAATAAACGAATGGCGTAAAACAGTTATCGAAGATGCCCCACGTTGCGCTGCCTGTTCGTCTTTCCAGGGTGACCTGGGTTTTAGCACAAATGATACTGTTTCCTACTTTAACTATATAAGTTCACAGGTTTCTGGATTTGGCATTATTTCTTTCTGTTTTTTCTTATTTGAAGTATGCATTTGCGTCTGTTTTTGAGTATTGCGAAAACTCAACGTTTATTTTCCATCTGGTTTTAGAATGGCTAGTTTCAGGTCCCGGTGAATGAACGAGTCTATAATCTAATGAAAAATGCTTGTCTTAGATCAATAAGTTGCGAAGTCTGCGGGACTGTTGAATTTCCTAAAGTTAGCGAGAAAAGCTTCTTTGAAGGGCACAGTATTTCTTTGGACACTCGCTTGAGAACCACCAAGAGTCAAGTAGGGGATAGTTCTGATGCAGAAAGTAATGGGATTGTCCTGTTTGGTGACGATTACAATGGTTACACCTTGGCTCATACGTTCAAGTCCGTTTTCGTAATTTTTCATTGTTTTGAACGATAAATTGCGAACTTAAGCTTTCTTTTACTTCTGGCGACATTTTCATGTTCGTATTTTTTGCAGGTTACGAGACGCAAAAGCTCGGGGGTTTTACCGATGTTTTTCACTCGTTATAGTCAGCATGGATAAATTTTTATTGACGAGTAATTATGACTATTTTGTCTCAGCGATGTCCTCAATAATAAATAAATTACAGGTTTGGGATCCTTCACTATTTCACTCATTTGATCATGATAGTACTGAAATAGTGTGAGATTATTTCTGCAAATTTACACAGTCTGTGCCTTCTCTCATGCTCGTTTAAAATTTGGTTTAACTTTTTTTTTATGATCAAATTATTTGGGGAGCTGATACTCCAATTAATTGCTCATCTAATTTCTGCCTTTTAGTTTCTTTGAAATTGGGGAGCAAAGTAGTCAATGATGAACTGATCTTGAAGTTCTTCATGTGTAAAGTTGTAGAGTTGGCTGTTAGTTTAGTATTAATTTCCAGGAACAAGCGTCAAATGTATATACTAGAGAATCTAGTTCTGCGGCTCCTGATGCGGCACCACCCGCGTTACTAATGAAGAATTCCACACTACCCAACTACTTCTTGAAATCTAGTAAAATTACTAACATTGACCTTGACACATCAAGGCCTTTGTCAGTCATAGTGGATGATCCTGATGTTTTCTTGAAGTTACATAGGTATTCCTCATGGCACTAGATATTTTTTGTTGTTATTGCATCATTCTGATTATGAACTTTACAGGCAGCTTACGATCTTGTTACGAACTCACAGTAGGTTGCATTTGGAAAGTGTACTTGAAGGAGTACCTTCGCAAGATCTTCTTGTAAGATCAGAACTTGATCCTTCAGAAGCATCAGAAGTAAGAACGGAGGCAGAAAACTGCACTCAGTATTATGCTCTTCTACGCATAGCTCGTGTTCAGCAGATTGCAAAAAAGTTTGAACAGCTTGGAAGGGCAAAATCAACACGCCCGTTAATTGCCCTTCTAACACACATTGTACATGGGTTGAAGGTAAGTTTCAAGATAATTTTAAAAAACTAACTTTTCTTGGTATAGAAGCAATCGTGAGTGCTCCTGTTTTATTTTTTTACCTTACTTTAATGGGAGCATATGGCATCAACACACACGTCTAATTTAGATATGTATTACATAGCGCAAAGGCGGCGTAATTTCTCGATCTTTCAGTCGTCCTTATTAACTTTTTTAAAGTCAAAGTTCTCAGGTGGTAACTTTAAGGAACAGTCTCCTTGCTTAATAGTGATCTTTCACTTTCTATAGGGTCTGACTTTGTAGTTCAGTGGATCAACAGTTTTTGACGAAATGAGTGCTGGTTTATAAACCCTCTCGTTCCACTTTTATTTGAACTTCGTTTTCTTCGTTTGAAATTGAATATAGAATACTTAAAAAAAAGATTATTGCCACTTAAGTCTTTATTCAAGTGCACTCATTATTTCAAAGGCTGTAGAAGTCGCTTGGACTTGTTGTTAGTCGGGCTGAAATAAATCACTCCTTCAGTGGCTTCGTTGCGCTCAAGCGCATTGTCTAACTGTGGCAGAAATTAATTTGGTTTACTTCGACTAGGTTGCAGTTTTGTACATTTTTTATTTCAGCTGGCACGTGTTAAAGTTGTACTATAAATCCTTGCTAAACTTCAATTCTGTAGGTAATTTCTAACGTTTTGTTATTGCCTAAACTCCCCATCCCACTGAGGTGCCAGAAGAGATCGTTTTATCTCCATTAACCATTATTTAAGTCTCCAGATTTGGCGAAACGAAAAGAGCATATGGTTGATTGAGGTGATTGCCGTATATGGTTTTTTTTATGTTGTCCAAGTCGTGTCTTATTAGTATTTAGTTATGATCTCCAAATTCCCGAAATGATAATCAAACAGCCCAG